TCTCTCCTCCTCGTATGCCTCGTCTGCTGTCGTCTCTCTGTCTCTCGTCTCTCGTCTCTCTCTCTCTCTCTCTCTCTCTCTCTCTCTCTCTGTCTCTCGCGCGCGCGCGCGCGCGCACTCACTCCTTCCGCAGCCTCTTGATCGTCGGCCCCATCTCCTCGCCCGCCCTCAACGCCGCAAACGTCTTCTCGTCAATCTCCGCCCGCTCCCGACACAGCGCGACGACCTGCTCCACCAGCGACGGCGGCACGACGACCACCCCGTCCACGTCCCCAGCCAGGATGTCGCCCGGGTGGATCCACAGGTCGTCGTGGAACTGGAGCGGGACGTTGATCTCGGAGGCGCGCGTGAAGGTGTGCGAGCCGAGGATGGAGGTGGTTCGGGCGAAGACCTGGATGAGAAGCCCAGGGACGGCCGGTTAGCTTGGTGCCCACACTGCTGGTGTCACGGTGACGGTGACGATCAATGATGACAGTGATGGTGGTTGTGATGGTGCTGAATTTCAAGGAAAGGCGCTCGGTATCCCCGTATCGGGTATCCAAGTACCCGATCCGCCTGTGGAAGAGAAAGAACAGGGACAAACAGACTGGAAACCCCAGCTCGCGGTGCTCTCGCACATCACGCATCCGGCCATCAATAATAACCCCCGCGGCGCCCATGTGCCTGGCCCGCGTCGACATCAGCCCGCCCCAGCACGCCGAGTACGCGCCCCGGGGCTGCTGGATGTACATGATCTTGCCGGGCTTGTTGCAGTCGACAAAGTGGCGCGGGGGGCTTGGTGCCGCTTTCTGTGTCGACTCGACCATCTTGACCGTGACGGCCGGGCCGAAGACGGTCGTCGTGGCATCGGCAGGCGAAAACATCTTGAGCCCGTCGAGGAATCCCCCAAACGGGTATTTCAGCTTCACCAGCGCGTCGCCGATCTAGTGGGCCCTTCCCCCCGCAAGGGGGTGTTGCTCAGTAAATTCACGGGACGATAACAGAATATCCTGAGAGTGGGGAAAGGCAGGTTTACTGGTTCTGAAAAGGACAAAGACGGGGATGAAAGGTGGAAGAAACTCACGTCGCAGGTGGTAAAGGCCCGTAGTCGTTGCAAGCTAGCAGCCATGGCTATGGGATGGTTATGGCTGTCCCGCTGTCCCGTTCTCTCCTGTCCTATCCCGTCCTGGCCCTCTGCTGAACAAATCTTTCGTAAGAGGTCTCTGTTGACCGACGTACCACGCCAAAGCAAAGGCGGCTTGTTGACCGCAAAGGAAAGGCGAGAGACTTGTGGTACGTACCTCTTACTCGGTATAAGTTACAAGTACAAGTAAGCTTTCCCCCCAAGCTCGGCTTTTGCGGCACGAAACCTGAGAGTTGCGTGGTACATGTTAGGTCAGTGGGCGGTGGCTTGTTATTGACATTTGGCTGGCCGGAGGGTTTCCGTACGCTGATCATCGGCCTCTGCTCCGGGTGGTTTTTCCGAATAGACAAAAATACAAAAAGGATCGCGGAGTAGAACGTAGAGGGTGGAAATGAGATCGTGATTTCAACGTCCACCCGAACAGTAGATGGTAACAGGCTATATTGGCTTAAGAACCCCCCTGCCCGTGGATGGTACCCTCCCACAAACGCCCTTATATGCCCTTCTGTCTCTGCTGCCACAGGCTCAACAACGAAGAAGATACGCTTCGCTCTGCGGAACGTGCTCCCTCACAACCTGCACGATCTCGCGCCAGACTTTCTTCCGCAAAGATTCTCCCTTTGGTCCTGTCGCCAGCTCGCCTCTTCTGCATCGCCAGTCAGTCAGTCAGTCTGTCTCCGCAACACTCGCTACCGAAAGAGAAAGTAGGTCGAAATCGCAGGCAACGCAACTTACTTGTCAAAGACATCGTGACTCCAGAACTGCCCGGTCGCATCCCTCCCTAAAGTCGTTCCACTGACAAGAATCCTGCTCCCTTCTTCCGCGGATCGGGCAAAGACCAGTTGGAACAGGTGGTTCGGGAGGTTGAGAAGGAAAGAAAAGTCGCGGCCGAGATTTGTGCGGCACAGGTTCGGGCAGCATGTCGTGATGATGACGGCTGGGTCTTTGTGGCCTCCGGACGAGGAATGCTCTGCTGTTGCTGCTGCGACCAGTCCATCCATGACATACATCAGTAAGAGCTTGGTCGTGCAGTATTGCTGTTGGACGTCAAAGTATGTCTTGTCGTTGACGAGGTCTAGCACTCTCGAGCCGCTCTCCAGCACCGCATCGAATGCGTCAGGCTTGACCATGCGGTGCCCGACACTGCCCACAAACTCCAGGTGGGATGGTTCGCCGGACCTCTCTGCTGACTCTCGAAGCTTGGGATAGAGTAGCACCGCAAGGAGAGCGGTCGACAGAGTATTGACCTGCAAAGACATCTCAAACCCTTCCGGAGAGCGCCGATAAGACGGCGCCGCCATGCCTGCATTGAGTACAGCGATGTCGACTCGGGATTCGTCCGCGCACACGTGTTTGGCAAAGGATTTGACCGACCCAAAGGTACTCATATCGAGCTGATATAGCTGGATGTCTGTATTCTTGTAACCCGATCGTCGGCAGATCTGCTCTCGGGCCTCTTCGCCACGCTGTATTGATCTGACGCCGAGAATGAGTCGCGAGGCACCCAGTGCAGCAAACTTGATCGCCGCTTCGAGGCCCAAGCCGACGTTTGCACCAGTGATGAGGACGGTTTTGCCCGTGAAGGAAGCGTGAGGGTGCTCCGGCGGGTTCTAGAGTTTGGTCAGTCGCTTGCTTTCGAGTGGCCCGCGCAAGGTTGTTGCGTCTGGGAGGTACCATCTTACCCGAGCACTCCACCACATGGCAGAGAGACCTTGGTGATCCGGAGGAGACGGCGTCATGGTGTCAGATTAAGTGATTGAGGTGCTGGAAGGATGCAGATGCTGTATAGAATCGACACCGAGCAACATGGGCGTAGCAACTGTTTTATTGCTTCTCGGAGCGAGTGTGGAGTCGAATCGGAACGTTTTGGTGAGGCTCCCTCAAATCCGCCCGAAAAGGACGCAAACCCTCCGAACGTCTCAGCCTGCAGAGTTATTTCACTTTGCGTTATTGGCATTGATCATTCGCTTCAGATTGCTAAGGATGGTCCTCAGGGGCTCGGAAGGCCCCCGGGGTTTATGCAGTGGAGGCTCCTCCATGGCCTCCTCCTGCAACATCAGGCGGAGCATTTTGGCGGATCCTGTCGTCCCCAAGACTCCTTGGCCCGCGGTGGCCCCCTCTGAGACACCAAGCTTGGCTTCGAGCTTCGCAAGCATATCTTCGCTCACCTGAACAAGGATCTGGACTTGCAGATCGAGGCGCTTTTCGAGAGTGAAGCCTGCCAAGCTGATGCCAGGAAATAGCTGAGGCAGATGTTGTTGTAGCGATAACAGATCAGGCATCGAGTCGTAAATGCAGGAGAAGATGGTACGGTAGATGCGGATAAGACAAATGTAGCATGAGAAAAGAGAGAACATTGTTGGAGCATCGCAGCGTAAGCTCCCAGTACAGGTCTGTGTGGCTGAAAGGTGGTCAGGGTTTGAAGGACAAGAGGACGCTGGCGAGATCGAATCAAACGAATCCAAGATGGCGAGGAGAGTCTTTGAATGTTCAAGCATTCGACCGACTAGGAAAGAAGAATTGTACGCCAACTCTGTGGGTAGAGACAGCTGGGCGCAATCGGCAGCCGTTTTGCATGCCTTTACAAGCTCCAGGTCAACGAGGATCTCCTTTTGCAGGTTGCCTAGCCTCTCAAGACTGTCACCCTGAGGATTAATCTCGGAATAGACCGGTTGGCCATTGTCGGGGAGAGCCTGGAATGTTTGTGATGCCTCCATATCCTGTTGCATAGCGTTTGGCCACCCGTTTCCGAGACCATCGACGGAAATTGGTGCTAATGGTATCTGCATCTCTTGACCAATGCCAGAAACTGCGTCGGTGAGGTCTGTAGGTGCGTAGAGCGTCTCCCGTAGAGACCATCCCTCCAAAAGATCGGAGGGTTGTCGCCTCAACGATGGACGCCCTGACTTCATAGCCGCGCCAGTGACACAGGCAACATTGGCTTTCGAGCACCGGCGACACTGTGCCGAGTCTGAAGAGCGATCGCACCGGAGCTTGTGGCGCCGACAGCGATCGCAGGCTGAACGGCCATTGCCATTGCCTTTGCCATCGCTAGCGGAGTGAAATGTCTGCATCACTAGCGGCAGGGAAGAATCCCATTACAGGGACAGTCCAAGATTTGAACCTTCCGAGTTCTGCCCTGAAGATGCTGCTGGCCCCTCTGCCCCTGTTTGATTGTGCGATCGGGAGGTTCTGGATGAAAGGCAACAGCAATGCTCCGATGTTGGGATCAGGCCAATACTGCCAAGAAAATAAATAGTGTGTATGACAGCCTGTCATTTGAATACTCAAGGTTATTGCCAAAATGAACCAATCACGGACTTCATTGCCACGTGCAAGGCTGCGAGGCACAAATAACACGAGGCTGAGTCACTACAGGAACCGTTGTCCCTTGTTCACAGGATCCTGAAGAGGTAGGTTGTATCATGCAAAGTAACCTTCAATTCCCACTGTTGATGTCAACGTATCCAAGATGAGCATGTCCCGGATATCCCATCTCACCACAATCACACTGATACAAGCAAGCCTTGTCCTCAGTATCCACAATCTGCCTCCTGCATATCCTTGAAGTTGTCCGTACCCTGCTACCGTGAATAGCACCATCAAGTTGATTGTAACCCCTTGACTGAGTTACTCTCATATGTTCAGCGGGTGGACATCCATATCTTTTGTTTCCTCCATTGCTTTTCTCAACATGATTAGACCATTACCCCTAGTCGGACTCGTAGCCTGCAAGCATATCCTCGTGGAAAAAAGGCGAAGACAAAGTTTGATCCTTGTTTTGCCTGTCCCATCTCACCCGATAGGCGGACTTGAACTCCGCCGCAAATTTCCTCAGTGGGCGCGAATCGTCTCTCCACATCGCCAGCCAGGCTCTGTAATCGCCAACAACGTAGAGGCCATATCTGGCGCGGGAGAACATAACATTCAGTCGATTCTCGTTGAGAAACCCGGGACTACGCACAACAGTGGGGTCCACGATGACCACATCGTACTCCATGCCTTGAACGCTGTCGACGGTCTGCAGGACGACGTCTTTGGCAGCCGGATACTGCTTTTCCATTTGGGATTTTGATATCTTGAGCAATCTCTTCTGCTCAATATACGGCGTCAGAATGGCGATGGAGCAGGGCTTCCCAGGCTTTCCGAACCCCGCATCGAACAGACTCTGCAGAATTTTGAGCACCAATATGACGTATTCCTTACAGAATCTCGACAGGTGGTAGTTCCGTCCTTCTGCAGCGTCTTGTATGTCGTAGAAAACAACAGGTTCGGGAATGCCATACGTTTGTCGGTTATGTTCGATGATGTCTTTGGCAAGTTGATCGTCTGCCAGTTTCGACGTTCGACCATGTTGCAAAAGACCACCGTAGCAGACATTGCTGTAAATCTGGGCATTTTTCTCGACGGCTCGATATTGCACATTGAAGAAGGCCGACTTGAAACCTGCGGACTGAAGACGCTGTTGAAGTGACATTTCCAGCTGGTCTTGGAAAGGGTTTATTATCAACTTTGCGCTGTCCTTCGTATCGTCTCCTTTGATCATAGGACCCAGCTGGTTGGGATCTCCGACCAGGATCTTGCCAACAGCCTTGGGATAGAAGGCGAATAAAGGCCACATCTGGTATTCAGGTACTCGAGCAGCTTCATCAACAACAATTAGCTCAGCTTGCGCGTAGTTGGTGCTGCAAAAGTCGTCCGCAGCTCCGCCAACGGTTGCACAAATGACCGAAGCGTGACTGATTGTATGGGCAAGAAGCTCGTCCAGTCTCAGATCAAGATTTGTCCAGTCCACAGAGCTGAACAGATCACCGTTGGTGAATCGCGTATACAGGTCTGCGAATTCCGTGAACCGGCCTGCATCACAGAGCGGGCTCTCCCCACGTATTCCGGCGATCTCAAGCATCCTCTCGCCTGCAGAAAGCTCAATGACATTCACCCGCTCGTCGCTGACACCTTCGTACTTGCGTTCCATGTACGCCTGGCAATGGGCGAGAACTGTCGCGGCCTGTCCCGACTACAAAGGCTGTGGGGAAGGCCCACTGGTGCGAGGTTCGGTCTTTTTGACGGCTAAACTTGCTTCCCTTGCCAATTTCGCGTCTCTAAAGGCCACGGACTTCTCTGTCTTGATGCTGTGCAGGCGGATTACATATCGCTTACCCAAGCCTTCCGTTGTGTGAATCGCCCGCCTAAGTTCTCCGTCCAGAGCTTTTGCAACCGAATCAACACTCGCGTTTGACGCTGCTGTGAGCAGCACGCGGTGCTCTTTCGCAACGTCGAGAAGAAATGGCCGAACGGCCTGGATGATGAAATGGGACTTGCCCGTCCCAGGCCCTCCGTGGCAGAGGACGAGCCCATTAGGAGCATCATGCCCGAATGGGATTGCTTCCTTTTGGCTCTCATTGAGAAACATCCCGTCCTCGTGTGAAAGAGAAGGGTCACTGAGGGATTCGAAAATATTGAGTCGAGTAATGTCATTTGGACAAGTTGCAACGAGTAGCTTTGCAATCCCACCATCTTGCGAGCGCGCTACCTTCGTCCTCAGGTCGCTCAATGCTCTGATAACATAGACAAATATGCTGTGGCGGTCCTCCGGAATGACCCTCGCGCAGATAGTCGCCTCGTCAATTAGACCCCATATCGCGGCCCGCATCCCACGGCCCTGTCGTATGGAACTAATCCTTGAAAATGAAGTGACAGGATAGGAGTTTGGGTCGTGATATCCATCTTTATTGGCGTCCTGGCGGCGTTCAATTGTAGCCCAAGCCACTTCTGGAGGGCCAGTCGCAACAGGTGGTAGGATGTTGATGATCCAGGGTCCGCGTGGGCGTTTTCGATTGTCGGCATGAAGATATGATGGGTCTGTGCGACTGTCTGACGAATTATCGACTATGATCGGCAGGGAAGAGGGCTTATTCAGGTGAGCAGATGCCTTGTCTCCCGCTCTGAAATTCTCTTGACATCTCCTTGGGACCTTGAACAGACAGATAGTTCGGGTTTTGTTTCCTTCTTTGTGCTGTAGGAGCTTTATGGGCGTCTTGAATTCTCGATTCTTCTCTCTGTCGGCAAGAGCTGATTCGATAAGCGCACCAGACCCGAGCAAAGCGACGTATTCATCCCAGCTTTTAAAGGACTCTTTTGCCTTCTCCAGATAGTCAGGGACATCCTCACGTTCGAGACAGCAACGGTGATCAGGATCAATATATGTGTTGAAGAACGGCGCCCAAGTTTGTAGAGTCTCGGGCATCTTGCCGCAGCTGGGAAGTGTTTCTCGGAGAGGTTTCAACAGCGGAGATTGAATTCGGGAACTGATGATCGACGCTGGGAGCGGCAACTCTTCAACAATTTGAATGGCAATGAAGATATGTGTAGTCGTCTGAATGAGTGTATCTGGGTAAAGAGACCTCGATGTCAAGATCAGAGGGATGCCAAATTACCGTAGGTCATTAGTGACAAAGAACTCACCTGGAATTTCACTGGCCTTGAAAGATTTCAAGTCACTTGAGGTGCATGTACTGAGGCACAGGACCATGTTACGCCGTTATCTGATGGCGAAATGAGTGCAAGGTGAGGTCAAAATGATTGTCGCAAAGGTGTAGTAAAGGCGCTTGAAGGCTCACGCTTCGTCAGATTGTTCGACCTCCACGTCTGGCCAAACAGACAAATTGAGAGGAAAGTGAGGTAGTGAACTGGATTGAATATTGGCGTTGCACTGTCCTTTTTATCGTCAAGAGTGACCTGAACACGACAGATAGCCGCTCTCAGTTGAAGAATATGACTGAGTCGTGAGTTGAGCATCACTCCTGGTGGAGTAAATTAGGTTGAATGATACAAGACTCAGAGGCCTGACAAATCAGATAAGGGCTGTTGACACGCAAGGAATTCGCTAAGCAACCTGTAAGGATTATGCAGGAAGTGAGAAAGAGAGATTGTGCTTAGTTCGATCAGCGAAGATTGTGAGGGGTTGGAGACAGCTTAATGATCGAGACTTGAATAGCCAAATTGAGTGTGATACTTGGCGCAGAGGCTTATTCACACAATAAGACTTGTAACGTGCCAGAGATTTATAAAACACTCCGTGACAAGGGACAAAATAAACAAATAAACGCAGGTCTTCGGCGTTACGAGAGGCCATGCTGGTTTCGCCACTTGCCTGGGGACTCGTTCCAAGCGCCATGCTGAGGGGGCACCCTCCGGAGGTATGTCAAGACCAAGCATGATATGGTGTTGTGAAAGGTTGACAAACAACAATCGGAAGCATTGGTGAAGTGAAAGGATGGAAAACGTGGCTCGGACAAGACGTTGTGCGTGTGGTGGGCGTAGCGGCTGCCCCAGAGCCAAGACTAACCTTACTTTTATGCTTATGACTTGAGCCTCAGATGTTGCTAGGACTATCGACCTTACTAATCAACAGCCCTACTCACAAACTTGCTAGTTTATTGGTCAGAGCCGCGCTGCTCCACATGGCTATAACTCTTGGTCACGTGTAAGCACTAGTCTATTAATGGACTAGATTCAAGCACAATAGGTTAGTAGATAGTTAGTTTGGACTATAGTGGGATTGGGGACTATAGCCCCGCAGGTCTTGCGACCGGCTCTTGGACTGGCGTGACTGGTCAGACGGACCACTTGGCAACACTGCAAAGATTCGATCCTTATGGGACCGAGCAAGAAGGCAGGTTTTACAAGAGAGCAAAAAGGTAAATGAAGCGAGTTGAAAGTGCCGAGTGAGCTGAATGGTTGCGCGATACTGCAAAGAGGCAGCGGGAAAGTTAGCCCAGATTTTCAACTCGGGGGGCCGTCGAACTGTTATTATCCTTCCCCGCGGAGTATTCCCATTCTGCCAAGCAGTAGATCAGTTGCGAGATCGGGGATGGCAAAGATCAGAAATGGACATTTTTCTGAGGAATGCTTGATACCTCCGACGACACATATTTGTAGGTTGAGAAGGCCAGTGTAGAACAGAATTGCAGAGAGACTTGAACTTGAGGAAATTGTGAAAATGCTGTCCTGTTAGTGCCCAATAAGCTCATTGGTTCTTGTTGGTTGAAGTTTCAGCTCGCTTCAAAGTGTCCACTGTGGAACGGTAATTGGTAGAGCTCCTCTCGGCGGCCACACCAGGGACTCAGGCAAGCCTGAGCCCCTTAGTTAATCTTTCCTTTATCTATTAGAGTCTCAGAATTCCCTCCAACAATCACAACACTTGGGGATGGTGAGTACTTCCATAACACCCGCAAACAACAAAAACTAACAACCACCACAGTGGTCTAGTGGTATGACGTTTCCTTAGCACTGAGCCTGAATAGGTGAAGTGGAAAAGGTTCAGGGTTCGATTCCCTGCTTCTCCAATGCCTTAAATTTCTTTTTGGATCTTTTTTGGCTTAAATATTCAGTTTTTGGTGGCGGTGGTGGTGTTGAGTCGTGTGGCGGATAAGGGCCGAAAGTGGGCGAAAACGGGAAAGTTACACGGAAAAACCTTTGTTACCCCGCATTCTCCAACTCTCAAATAATCCGGCTGTCGATCCCATTAGGCATCAGGGCACCAGGCACACCACCAGGGTCCGACAAGGAGGCCCAACCATCACCACCCACTACCACCAACCTTCTCACAATTTTTATGCCTAGCGGTTAGTGAACAATTGCATGGATTGGCCTGTCTATCCCTGTGGCCTGTCTCAGGCCGCGTGTGTTTGTTGATATACAATTAGGAGTGGCACTAGACGAGCTCTCCTGAATCGTGCTACCGACTAACACCGCCTGTTGCCT